TTCTTCAAAAAATCATGAACTGTTAAGAAATAGAAAAAAATGCTGTTTTCTAGTTAAATGTGATAGGAATGGTGTAGTTATCTAATTTAGATGTGTAATTTCATAAAAAGGAAAGATAATGATCAAAAAGAGAATGGAAATAAACAACATATAAATTTTGTAATTTGTGTTTCTGATCTTGCCACAACGGCAGTTACTTTCGGGACTGCAGTGGGGGGTTGGTATAATACGTTATTAGATGTTGAGTTGCAATCCAGCTCCTAGAAAAAACATTATACTGCACTCTTCTGTCAGTCTGGTTCATTTGTGTGTAAAAATTTTAAAAATGGTTTAGTTATATGGAAATAAATGAAAACAACCCAGAGAAGAACAAGCAAAGGGTATTTATTCAGAGCTTGCGATAGCAAGGGAGTCAGACACCATCATGTGCATTTGGTAGAGACTCAAGGCAGGCAAGAGAGGGGGAAAGCTGTATAGTGCAAAAAAGGGGAAGACTTCAGGTGTGCTCTGATCGGAGGTTGTTGGCATGGGGGAGCAGGAAGCGGGCTAACTATAATCTACAGGGAATCCTATGTTATTGGTTTGGGAAGCTTATTTGGCTTTCTCTGGTTGGTCCTTAATTGGAAATAGGGACAAAAATTAGGGATACTGTCAGTCACTTGACCATTCTGGCTCTATTGCCATAGAGGTTTTGGTTTGGTTTCCAAGACTGGTTGCTGCAGAGATTTGAGTCAGAGTTCTATTGGCATATGGGGTCTGGCCATTGTCCATTTGTATATTCAGACTCTCAGCCATATAAAAAATCTCATTACTATTAAAAATTAAAATCACAATGATATAAATTTCAGCCTTTGGTGCTATTCCTGTTCACATTCAGAAAAGTTTAGAACTAGGCTTAAGTGGGACCCTACCACATCAAACTCAAGAAAGGACTAGTACTTCTAAATCATTAAACACGTAGGATGCCTGAAATTTTGCTTGTGATTGTCGAGATACACACACACACACACACACACTAGCACATCTCTCCAGCAGTACTTGGGAGAATCAGTGAATAAATCCTTGCAGCTTTGCCTCCTGAGCAGGCTATCGAGTAGCCCTAGAGCAAATAAATCTTTGCAATTTAGGTCAGCCCTCGAAACATTTGGTTTAGGGCTCATATCTGAAACCTAATCAATTTTTTTTTTTTTTTTTTTGTCCACAGCAGCTTAACATATCACTTCTGTCCCATGGTTATGTTGGCTTCTCGTCAACAGTTTTAGATATTTTGCAGGGAGATTGAGATGCTCTCCAGAGTTCCCCAAATTGAACTACAGGTGTACCACAAAGTCTGTTTCTAAGTAAGGCCATCTCAAGCACATCCTTCAAATTTGCTACCAACATGTCCAGAATCAGAGTAAACAGAAATTTAATTCCACTTATGTAGATATAATTCCCATTATAAACTTTTGGTTTTGGACAGCATCAGTTTTCAACAATGATACAGACCAAAGGTAGAAAAAGGCATTTCTGGAAAAACGAGCTAGTTGGGGGGCAGAGACAGAATAAAATATTTTAAAAGTAAATTAAATCTAGTCTTCAGGGAAATGTGAATCAATCCCACCAAGAGATAACCACTTCACACCCAGTGGGATGGCTATAATAAAAAAGTTAGATGATAACAAATGTTAGTGAGGACGTGGTGAAACCAGAATCCTTAACCCACTGCTGGTGGTAATATAAAGTGGCTCAGCCAATATGGAACAGCAGTGTAGCAGTTCCTCAAAAGGCTACAAAGAGTTGTCAAACAAACATAGGATTACCCTCTGACCCAGCAATTCCACTCCTAGGTATATATTCAAGAGAAATGAAAACATATGTCCACACAAAAACTTGTACACGGATGTTCATAGAAGCATTATTCATAATAGCCAAAAAGTAGAAACAACCCAATATCTACCAACTGATGAATGGACAAACTGTGATATATCCACACAATGAAATATTATTCAGCAATAGGGAGTGAAGTACTGATTCATGCCACAATATGGATGAAAATTAGAAACATGCTAAGTGAAAGGAACCAGTCATGAAAGCCCAACATATGGTATGATTCCATTTATATGAAATGTCCAGAATAGGAAAATACACAGAGACAGAGGGTAGGTTAACGATTGCTTTTTTGAGGTAATAATGTTCTAAAATTGATTTTGGTGATAGTTGCACAACTTTGAATATATTAAAAATCACTGAAGTATATACTTCAGATAGATGAATTGTATGATATATGAATTACATTTCAATGAAGCTATTACAAAAAAATAAAATCACCAAAAAACATTAGAATAACTTAAAACCTACACATTTGGGTTCAAGTTACGGTCTTTGTGATTCTTAGGTTGTTTTTTTAAACCTCATGAGATTATTTTTAGAGGGAAAGGCTGCATAGCATTGTTGTTAAAGAGCAAAGGCTTTGGAATCAGACCTGGATCAACTTGTGTCTTCAACACTTTAAAGCTGTTTGTCGTTGAACAAATTATCTCACCTCTGGAAGTCTCAGTTTCCTAGACTGTTGGAAATAATAATACCAATCTCTTAGGGGTATTGTTAGAGGCCCATAGTTAAGTGTGCAATAAGTGGTAGCCACACTTGATGATAAAACAATTGACTTCTTATGGGTGTGGTTATCTGAAACAGGGATAAACAAGTCTTCTGTGAACAGGGCACAGTGCGGAATGATTGCAATGCAGAGAAGATATTTCAACAAATACGTACTGAGTGGCAGGCACTCAGTAGAGGGGTGTGGGTGTGGGGGTTGGGGGTGAAATAAGATGGATCTCTTTCTTTTCTTCTTTTTTTTTTTTTTTTAAAGATTTTATTTATTTGACAGAGAGAGCACAAGCAGAGGGGGAGAGAGGGAGAAGCAGGCTCCCTGCTGAGCAAGGAGCCCGATGTGGGACTCGATCCCAGGACCCTGGGATCATGACCCGGGCCGAAGGCAGCCGCTTAACTGACTGAGCCACCAGGCATCCCAAGATGGATCTCTTTCAATCCCCAGGAATTTACTGTCTGCTAGGTGACACTGAGGTAGTGGGCACACCTCTCTGTACCGATTATTTTAATATTAATATGGTTTTAAGATAGGAGTTTTTATCCAATATACAGGAAAAATAGGAGAGGCCAATGAAAGGAATTCATAGGAGGCTACACTGGGGAAGATGACACTCGAGCTGAGTATTGAAGAATGAGAAAATTTTGCTTGAAAAAGGCCAGAAGGGCTTCTGTGGCAGCAGAAACAGTGCAAGCAAATAAATGCCTACAAAGCCCATTTATAGGTCAGCTGTCAAGTTTACATTTCCTAACTTCCAAGCTTCTATATCAACTGCAAATTCAGAACCTTCGCTTGTAAGGCTCATACGCTTCTTAAACTCTCCCCCACAACATGGCCCACTCACAACTTTTCCCTTCTCGGATGATGGCAACCCCATTCTTCTGGTTGCTCATGCCAGAATCCTTGGAGTTATTCTCAGCTACTTTTTGTTTCATCCCCACAACCAACTTGTCAGGAATACCCTTGGCTCTGCCGTCAAAATGTATGCAGGATCTGAGTTTTCTCAAACCTGTTACTGCTACCACCCTGGTCTGAGCCACTCCTGTCTGCTTCTACTTGTGCCCATCTACATTCTCTAGATAGCACCCAGAGTGACCCTTTTCAAATAAAAGTACGATCATAGTACTTCTCTGCTCAAAACTTCTATGGTTTGCATTTCACTCGGATGAAAGCTGGGATCCTTGCAAGGGCCGACAAAACCCTCCCGTGGTTTTTGGCCTCACACCTTCCCTTGCCTTTCTGATTGCTTCCACTACTCCCCCTTGATTTCATTTGGCCCTCTGATTTTGTTTGGTCCAAGCAGTGGTTTATAGTTTTATTTTTCTCTTTGACTATGTACTATTGAAAAGGCAGGAACTCTAAGTAGGCAAGGTGTACCAGTTCCTTGCTCTACAAGCACCCATTGTCTGACTCCTTGCTTGCTCAAGCATTCACATACCTGCAGGACCCTGACAGGCCTTGGATGTCCCCCGCAGGGTAGGAGGCAAATGTGGAACCACTGAAGGTTTTAAGTGGGCCATCTTCGTATTTAGAGAGATTGTTTCGCTTTCAGCATGGGAAATGGATTTAAGGGGAACCCCACTGGAAGCAAGCAGTGGAAGAGGGAAAAGTTAAGGAGCTTTTTATGACACTCCACATGGGAGCCTGTGCTTAGGGTATGGTTGTTCATGGGAGTGGAGAGGAGATTCCAGATTCCAGAAATACTTTACTGTAGAATTGGCAGGACCTAAAACTGGCAGGACCTTGTCTACATATGGGGTTTCTGAGTTGAGTCACCTGGTAGATGAAGGTACCACTTACTGAACACGGGATATACGCAGAAAGATGAAATTTGAAGATAAGGAATGGGGGGAAATGTAGATTTCCTTTCGGATATTTTGATTTGGAAGCATCCAAGGATGAGCCACCACTGCGTACCTGCAGCAAGCAATTGGATTTAGGGTTCTCAGGAGCAGGGAGAGCTGTGGAAATTCCAGAAGTGGAAATCTGGACTAGAAATTTGAGTTGACTATGACTTTAATAAAAGTCTTCTTTTTCTCCTTCCCCCTTCCCTCCCCCTCCTCTTAATTAGAAGTACCGTTTTTCTTCTTCCGAATTTCACTTTTTACTTCCATCATAACTTTCCCCGGAACACACACTACGGACATCGTCGATGTGAAAAGGCAGGAGCTGTAACAGAGTGAAGCAAAAACGTGGGGGCCGATCTCGTTCCTAAAGCACACGAATATTTGACTTCTGATGTAGGCATTTCTACAGCTGGGGATGAGCTCAGGCGCTGTGTGACTATGTCCTCCTTCCTTCCTTTTCAAGGAAACTCCGGAGGCCCGACTCCCCCTTTCGGGCCCGGTCTCCCGCACGCGCTCGCCGGCGGGTCCTTTTAACCAGCGTTCACCGAGTTTCCCGGAAGGTGCGGCCACGGACGTGACGCGCGGGAACAGGCCGGGGCCGCGGGCACCGCGGGCACCAGGCCCGGGCGAGTCGGGTCCCTCTCCCGGGGAGGCCGCGCGGGCCCCCCGGCCCCTGGCGGCGGCGTCCGCCCCTGCCCCGGAGGAGGCGGGGGGCGGGCTGCGGCGGCCCGGGCCCCCGGGAGGGCGCGCGCCGCCGCCCGCCTGGCCCGCATTGTCTCAGCTCCATAGCAACTCGGCGGCGTCGGCGTGCGCCCCGGCTCCCGCTCCCGGGGAGAGACGGGCGCTGCCGGGCGATGGCGCCCTGACGGCCCCGCGCGGGCGCCGGGCGCGGGCAACGGCGGCGGCATGGCCCCGAGGCGGCTCACCGCGGGTAGGTGCGGCGGCGGGGACCCCACACCCGCCTCTGGCCGTGACTTCTCGCCCGGGCGCCCCCCTTCCACACGTTCCACACCCTGGCTCCCCTGCGCTCTCTGAGCTTTTTATTGCGAATGCCACCCGCTCCCTCTACCCCCGCTCCGCCCCCGGCGACCCCCGTTTGCATTGCCTCATTGGCACCGTCTTATTTTGTCTTGCTTAATTCTCCGTTTTGCAGCCGGAATAATGGAAGCCTACGAGGTTAACTTCAGGGTCACAGTGAATTAGTGACCAAGCTGGATTCCAGAGGCCTTTCCTCCCCACTTCCACCTTGAATTCCAACTTAAAATTCAATCCATGTGCAGAGAATGGACGGAGGGCCAAAATTTTACTGAGCTTGCCCACGGATAAAGCAGGGCTAGGTGCTGTCTCGAATTATTTCATTTACTTTAAAAGGAAATCAGATTTGAGTGAGATAATGTCATATTTTATCTTGTTTCAGAGCCACCAGATATTACAGAAGAAGGATTTGTAAGTACAATTTTAGAGGACTATTTTTCCCTCTTGGCTTTTTAAAATCATAGATTGTAGAAGAAAGCTGTATATTTTCTCCTTTTGCCAAATGAATATAATCGAAGCTTTGGCTTGGTTAACAGTGGTGCTGAGTACAAGCATTTTTACATTCTTTAACAGGTACATTTTTAGGAAGAGGCCAGTTGATTTTTATGGTGGATGTTTTTACATAAATGACCTCATTTAATTTCTCTAAACTCTTTCATGACTCCGTGCGAGGTAGGTTTTATCTCCATGGTTTTATTGTGATGTGGCGCTGCAGTTCCTGGTTGTGTAAACATTAGTAGATGGCGCTGATTGATAACAAGTGGTCACTTTATAGTTATAATTACTTTAAAAATGTACTGAGTGTTTCAGGTCAGACTTCTGGTGAGTCGAGTAGTAATAAGTACTTTGCCAAATAGGTTATATCCTTGATCATTTAAGTGAGTGCTTCATTTAGGATGGGTTCTATTGTAACTCCTGTTGGATATTTAAGGAACTTGCTCAAAGTTAAACAACCAGATAGGAGGTAGTAGAGCCCATTTCCTACTAAGGTTGGAATTTGATTCCAAGAGCCCTAACCACTGTAGGGGCCAAGGGCAGGCTGCCCCATGACGGGCCACTTTGGCATGAAGATTATTTTCAGTTAAAAAGCAGTTAAAACCCAGCAGATTGAGGAACAGCTCTTTATCTCTCCTGCAACTGCCTAAAAAGAATTTAGGTAGAGGATCCAGGAAAAGAACCATCACCACAGAGAACAACATTATGGTATGAACAAGTTACGGTAGACAGGGAAGAACCTGGCAAGGCCTGTTTGATCCAAGTCCTCCATGTCCCATTGTTTCCCAGTGGCCCAGCACACATTTGCTTACCAAACATTTCCTCTTTTTCATCTTCCTGTGAATTGCGCTCTTTCCCTTGGAACTCTCACACCCCTACCCCTTCTCCTTGAGTCAGAAGGACATAAAGGCCTCATTTTGCCTATCTTTGGAATTTCCATGTCTTTGTGGATTCCCCATATGCACACTATTAAATCTGATCTTCTCCTGTTAATCTGTCCCATGTAAATGCAATTCACGTAGTCTAGCTGGAAGGCCTTGAGGGCAGAGAAGAATTTTTCCTCCCCTTCACCACTTCTCTGTGCTATTTGGCTTATGTCTTCCAGCACTTATTTCTCTTGTTGGCCAATTACCTTATTTGCTTTTGGCTTTTTATTCAACAAACGTGAGGGCCTCTGTATCCACAGTGCACTACTAGATGCTGAAGGTAAGTCTCAAAAAGTTTACAGTCTACCTGGGAGGGGCTGTGAAAGGAGAGGGTGAGGGGCTGCATCTGCTAGCACCTTCCATTTTCACCCTTCTGGACCTTTGGCCCACTACTGAGAGAGAGAGAGAGAGCGACAGACAGACAGACAGACAGACATCAAGGTCGATACACAAACAGCATGCCAGTAACTCCACCCATCTTCTTGTTGCCTCAGTGTAACCCTGGGTAGTGGCAGATTTCTTTAAACTGTTTCCGGAACTGTTCTTCATTCCTGCAGGAGGTCAGCATTTCTGGAGCCAATCTTTCCCATACAATTCCACCATAAATTCTCTGAGGAGCACTCAGCAGCATTGTATTTAACCATTTGAGTAGCCTTCTGACCCCTCAGGTCTTTGTAACTGTTTGGGAACTCTTAACAGCTCCAAGACTCTATTAGCCACCCCTCTTTCTCTTGGTGTCTCTGATACCACCATCTCCTGGTTTCCCATCTCTCCTTTTCATGTCCCCATTTCCGGCTTCTCTTTCTTTTGCCCGTGAAAGTGTTGACCCTCTTCAGGACTCTGTTCCACAGACTACTTCTGGGGGAGCTCTTCTTCTCCTATAGTTTTAGCTACTCTTATGTCCCAGAGCTTCCAGATCTATACGTCTCCAGCCCAGACACCTTTTCTGACGCCAGCACCCTATATCCGTTGGCTTATGGGGCACCTTCATCAGCTGGATGTCCTTGCATCACCGCCACAGTCCCATTCCTATTCCACACTCTCTCAAGAGTGTGATAAAGTGACCTTTTCTCTCTGCTCCCCTCAGCCCTGTGCTGTTTTTCTTCCTCTTTTTCTTGTTTTGGTTCATGGTACCACTGGCCATTCAGTCGTCCAAGAAGCCAGAACTTTCTTCCCCTGTCTTCACCTCCCACCTGCAATCATTTACCAAGTTCCTTTCCTATCTGGGTCTTTTTCTCCAGCCTCACAGCTACTGTCTTATTTCAGGCCCTCATCCTGGGCCTGGACCCTGGCAGTAGTCCTAACTGATATCACTGCCTCCAATATTCACTCTGTCGACTCCAATTTTTCTTGGCCTAAAGCTTAAAGTGCAAACTCGTGTGCATTGCCTGCGCTGGATGATTATTGCTTTGCTCTGTCTACCTTCAGATTCTCCCCCTCCCATCACTCCTGCCCTGGCTCCCTGGCTGTCAGATTGCTATTAACTCTTTTAAAGAATTACCACGTTACTTGATTGCTCCACTCTTTTATTAATCCTCCTATTTATTGAATGCTGACTACAGGCTAGTATTTAACCTCATTACAACTCCATTAGGTTGTTATTAATCACCCACGTTTCACAGATGAGGAAGTTGAAGTCCACAACTCTTAACCAACTTGGCTGGAGGCCACACCTCTAGTAACTGGCCGAGCCGGAAAGTCAAACACCTCCCTCCAGCATTCAAAATCTTTTCTATGGCTTTTTAGCCTTTTTTAACCTTACCTCCCAGTACTTTCCGTGTGATAGACAAAGTTCATACTCTTTTGGGATTATTAAGCACTTCCACATTTCTTCTGCTCCAGCCAAACTGCTCCTCTTGCCCTCTTGCCTTTGCCATGCGGTTTTGCCTCCGTTACCCTCCGCGTCTCTTTCCCAGTCTTGCACACCCTTCAAGGCCCAGCTCACCTCCTCAATGACAGCTGACTAACCTCACGTCATCTGGACTGCCTTTGAACTCTGTGCAGCTTGCCCTAGAGACCAGTTTGTGACCAGCTCCTGCAATTCATGTGCTCACCCAGGATTATCGATAGATTAAATGATTCATGCCTTGCACATATATTTACCTCAGTTTTTCAAAAGTGTCAAAATAATTTTTTTCTCATTGATATTCTTAGAGATATAATGTGGCAGAGCTCTCTGGCTCGCCAGATCGATTCTACCCTTTCCCACGATATATGCTAGACACGTTGCTTTCTAGATTAGACTACATTTTCTAGCTGATGTTTACAGGGATTAAATCAGTCACACCCAACTGGTACCTGGTCAAGCCACAATTAGAACCTGGGTCTAACTAACTCTATCAAATGCACAAAGCAAGAGACCATGCCCTTTTCTTCTTTCCTGCTGGCTGGAAGGAGGGTGTGATGCTGGAGCAGAAGCAGTCAGCTGGGATCATGAGGGAGAAGTGGCATCAGCTTTCCAGAAGTAAGACGCGCCATTTCTGCTTACATTCCACTGACCAAAATTTGGTTACATGACCACATTTAGTTGTAAGGAAGCCTAGAAAATGTTGTCTTTTAGAATAAATCATTTGTTGTCAGGGACACATTGCCTTGTGTATGATTTAACTTTTTATGTGGAAAATTTGCAATTTCTTCACACAATTGTGAATTCCTACTGGGCTGGTACTGGGTCTCAGTACAATCTTAATATACCCTGTGGTGTGTAGCACAATGTCCAGAATATGCTATTAGATGATTAATACATTTTGGTTGATGGATATTTTCATATATGATAACTAGTGTGATTTATTTCATTTATTTTTAATTTTGTTTTATTCAAAAAATTTTTAGAGTTGACACACAATGTTACATTAGTTTCAGATGTACAACATAGTGATTCAACTTCTCTGTTATGCCATGTTTCACTTATTATCTTTTTTTTGCAAAGTTTCTTTTGATATATATTCTATATTTCTTAAGCTCCTCTCTCCTGGCATTCTTCTACTTCAGTGTCTTTGTTAACTTTGTATTTGATTGGTTTTTGATAATTCTCTCTTAGGGAAAATACAGACAAAAATGTTAATACATTCAATTTTCTCATCAGTTCCTCTGGGGGTATATTTTTAATTATAAAAGCAATGTATGAATATTCTTATAAATAATTCAAGTAATAAAGTGATAAAGTGAATATTCTTTTCATCACTTGCTTCTACCCAAGCCCCTTTCATTTTTATATTCCATAAAAACTGAAATATAAATCTGTCATAGCAAGAAAAGTTGAGTTCAGATTGCTTTATGTTACATTGGGATTTGATTATGCGTTAGGTATACATGGAGAAGAGTTTAAAGTGAAAGTGACTGCTAAATTATTTTTAACTTTAAAATAGAAAATAAATTCATTTAAAAGCTTAATTACTCGACTCTTAAATCCAAAATAATCATATTTTTTTCTTGTGCCTTGAAATTTTTAAAAAAAATATTTATTTATTTACTTTTTTGGAAAAGGAGGAGGAGGGGCAGAGGGAGAGAATCTTTCAAGGAGACTCCCCACTGAGCAAGGAGCCCGACCCAGGGCTCAATACCACCACCCCGAGATCATGACCTGAGCCGAAACCAAGGGTCGACACTTAACCAACTGAGGCACCCAGGCACCCCTAAAAATTTCATAGTTTGAAACTATGCAGGAGGGTACATCATGCCTCAAAAATAGTCTTTGTAGAGTAAAAATTTTGTAGTACAGTGACTTCTTTTTTTTTTTTGGACGATTGTCTGATATATGAAGCCCACTTTCGTTAACTTTAAAAGCAGATGCCATTTAAAAAAGAAAAAAAGTGAAAAAAAAGCAGATCCCTTTATTTTTACCATCAAAACAAGAGAGACTAGTTCATGCAGTATTTACTGTATCATACTTGTTAAAAATGATATTCATTTTTAGCTAATCCTTAGCTTGTTCAAATTCATACTCTGTTATTTGTATAGGTTGAATGAACTTAGAATAAACACAGAGGT